AATTACTTAACCCATATAAATCATGTCTTCAAAATCATAGTATTGGCTTAAACTCGCATGTCACTTAAATAACTCGAGTGTGAAAATAACTAAATTTCACATTATACTTGATTGAGTACATGAACTCAAAACATGCTTAACTTTTACCAACATCATATTCATGATTTATAAATAATACTCATCTTAACTTGTATGGTACTAAATATTTCAACTTAATACTCATACAATATAACTTTTAATCATAATATTAAATTATGATCTTAATATGTGATATTTAAAACAATCTTTATAAAAATCGTAAATTCAACATATTAAACAAAAAATTTGTCAAATTGCTCATCACTCATATGAGAATTATTCATAAAAATCTCACTTTAACAATTTGATCATATAATGAATATTTTTGCATATATACTCATCTTTACATATATGCCATCTTATTATCCTAACTCCTTCATTTCTCATTATTAAATTATGAAATTTAACAGTCATATTCTTAACTCCTATTTAGACATGTCATAGAAATTTCATAATTTCATCATGCATATATCTCAACTTATTTAAGTTTAAAGTTGCTGCTGGAAACAAGTACATAAAATTCAGCTTGCATGATAAACTTTAAAAATTCATATCTTGAGTTATACTAAACTAAATGACTTGATTCTTGGTCCTATGTACTCCTCTTTTACACAAGAAATAACCATAGGAAGCATAGCTTTCCAGATTTTTCATAGCTAGGTAAAAATGTCATCATAACTGAACACATAAGACATATATATGAGCTGGAAATAACTTACCTTCTAGCATGCTTATACTCATATAAAACTTTAATATCTAAGTCATATAAAAACATTATTAAAAACTTAATATCATCTACTAAATATGATAAAAAGATAGCATCTTACCTCCTTCTTGCTTGAAAATCTATAGTTGCTCCTTGACTTCTTCAAAAATTAAAACTCTACTATTTTTATTTTTATTTTTCTCTCTATTTCTATCTTTTTGATGAAACTATGATGATTTGAGAAGATACTTGATGATAAATTCTGATTGAAATACCTCTATTTATAGCCATGAATGAGCTTTTTGGTAGATAAAACTTAGTCCACCAAGTTTAATAAGATTCTCACCAATTGTTGAAAAAAATGCTAACTTAAAGACTTAGCAAAACTTTGTTGTGATTTTTCTCATCTCATTCTCACCAATTGATGACCAAAATTTCGTGCTTATTGTGATGTAATTGATTCCATATATTATTGAAAAAATGTCACCCTTCATCATATAAAAATCTTTGGAACACAATAATAAAAATAATAAAAATCATCCTTTTTATTTCTTATTCATTTTCTTTCAAAATGGCTGATTTTTAAAACTCTTTTACTGAAAAGTACTGCTCATATATGGTCTTGGATCATGCTAATAAATCGAGAATAATACAATTTACGGAAATCAATTCGGACTTAAAACGAACGTTTACCGTAAAACTGAAAATTCTAAAATTTAAATCCTTCACTCACGGTTTTTCTTCAATTTAATGAACATATTGCTTCTTAGGATCTAATATAATTATCTTAAAATATTCTACATTTACGGAACCACATTCGGACTTAAACCGAACGATTACCGTAAAACTGAAAATTCTAAAAATTTCGGTTTCTCTTAAAATAATTTAAATAGACTATAATGTCTAAATAAATTTTCCCACTTCTTTGAACATTTATTCATGGATACTTAACCGCACTTCGAGACTTAACTTGTATCAACTTATGATAAAACTCGATATTATGATCTTATCTTGATGACTTAAACACTTAGAAAAATTCTAAGTATTTAGTACTAAGGCTCAACTATTTCTTAATTAAGTTCAACTCATGACCGAACATACTTGGGTTCAGTTCACTACTTATCTTAAACGATTAATCAAAATATACTCAATTTCGATTATTCGTCATCTTATACTAATTAATCCCGTCTTATAAATCCATTTATAAAAATAAACAGACCGAAATTAATTAATTACTAAACTGGCTCGATTACTAAATAATATTGAACCGAGAATACTTTCGACTTAAAGTCGAATTTTTAACTGAATAACTAGCTCGGAACTAGGAACGAGCATTATTAACAAAAGTAATTAGTTCGTAATTACTTTTATTAATTATTCAATGGGATATTACGGTACAGGTCACACAGATGAAAAGGTCGGACATGAATACAATTCAACTCCGTTCATGGATAACTCAGAGAAATTCAGCAAAAAGGGTAAAGATGAAACAGAAACAGAAACAGAAAATGCAGGCTAGTCCACATAGTTGACGTCGAGCATATCCCCTCCAAGCACAAAACCAACAGGTATTCCAAAAGCTTTACATTTCAGGCGGATAAGGAGCTGTGCAGCCGTCTATCAAGTGACAGTCCACCTCAGCTGTGTCTGCAGAAATTCAATAAGCCTTGTACGCATACATATATCTACGAAGTTTCCTAATTTCTTCTGATGACTCATCAAGTAAATGGTCCACATAAAGACAGATTCCAGCTCCACTGCAATGCAAAAGAGCAGTATCTCAGTTAACAACCTTAACCATACAAATTAACCCAGCCAAAGCAATAAAGAAAAGAAAAGGAAAAGAAAATGTATGACTCGGGTCCTACATGAGTGGCGTCCAAGGAAGCCAAATGATATCCCACCTAAACTTTGCCAATCTGCAGCAGCCATGGACACTGAATTAGGGAAATTGGCATGGTGAACAACCTTATGCAATCAGTGACTTTTCTGAAATTTTTAAGATGTAATTAATATGTTAAGTAAGGTGGTTTAACAAATTTTAGCATGTTGGTCTAGTGCCAACTGGCTAGCCAATGGCAAGCATCAAACCCATTAATCGGCAGTTGGAAAAAATTGGTAAAATTAATGTTGTAAATCTCATATTAAGATCTAACAACACATAACTATAATCCAATACATTGATGAGACTCACTTAACTATGGAAGATGTGCCAATGAAATTTGTGATATCAGAATTACCAGTTTACCTGAGCATGTGGTACCACCAGTATACAGCCAATAGTGTACCGGGGAAAAAAGAGCACCAGAGCCAAAGGCGATGATGTCTTGAGGTGTGCATCAAGCCACTAATGACCATTAAGCATATGAAAACAGTTGCCACCTCTGGAAAATAAGTTTCAAGTCACAGTCAAGAGGTGAAAAATACATCAGAAATGGTCACCAAATGTGAAACATTTTTAGTATTTTATCTCCAATGTGGCGGCCATGTTTTATCCACGACGTCATTTCATGTTGCAAATAGATCAGAATAATGGAAGAAAAGTCCTATATAAGTGCAAGAGTAATCCTAGTCATTTGTGGTCTTTAAATCCCCAACCTCTGGCGCAGTCCATGCACTAAGCCACTAAGATGTAGGTAAAAGTTAGTTTGGATGCCAACTTTGTGGTCTTTACCATATTCATCCAATATTTTCAGGTGACATGTGCCCAACAGCTTTAGGAGAAGCCGAGATAATCATTGGGTGAAACTTGAAACACATTTACTGAAACAACTATGAGAACGCTGAAGAGTAAATTAGCATATGGAACAAAAATGCTCATAGACTGTTACGTAAACATAAGTCCAGAAAAAGAAGCTAACCTGCAGCTATAATGCTCCCTGAATTAACCTCATACATGAAGTATGCATGGTAACGCTGCACACATGAATTGGAAAGAAGCCATTATTGGATCAATGTCTGGCCAGCGGTATAACTCACATAAAAATAGATAAAAGTAAAATTTTACCAAATTCTTCTTCAGAAAGTAAAACGGTAACATAGTGTCCCTGAAATTTATTACAAGAAAGAGAAGCCATGACAATGACTACACAGCTCCTAAGAAGTAAATACTCCATGCTATGAAGTCTCATTTGCTACTCGGTTGTTAAGACTTCCCTACGTCAATATGAAAACTAGCGGTACATTTCTTCATAGCCCTCAAGCGTCATTGTTAGGCGCTGTATTCTGGCAAGTGGTATGTACTTTACTATTTACAAAAAACTTGTTCAGTTAGGAAAGAATAGAGAAAGCATCAACTGAGTCCAAGAAAAATTATAATAATAAATCAATATTGATCAAGCCAGTTCACAGATGAGTAATGAACACAACAAACCAAAAGTGGAGGAATAAAGCATATTACCAACTCCCATGGAGAATAAGCTTGCTGAAAGATGGAGTAAATGAGGAAAATCGCATAACACGAAACAAGCCCAGCGAACACACTCTACAACAATCAAAAAAATCAAACATTGTCGAAATTCAACCTAACCACATCCAAAAATGGCCACAGCATCAATTGGAACATGAAAGTACAGTAGAGAGAGAAAAAAGAGTAGCAGACAGATGCTTATAGAACACGTACTCTCCACAGAAGAGACTGTTGAGCTTGACTCTTCTCCAGTGACCGAATTAGTTCCTCTTGCTCTGCGTATATACAAAAGTGAAAACTCCAAATTTCAATGTATAATGATCAGGAACAGAAATTGAGAGACCTTGGGTGTCAATCGGACGGGATTCGTCGCGGGTAGGAAGAGAGTAATCGTCGCCATCCACTTCGCCGGCGGATTTCCTCCATTGCCTCGTGAGTTTCTGCATCAGCTATTTGATTATTTCTATTTCCTGTCAGTTTTGTTCAATACTTATTACCTATATAATAAAGGTTGAATAATGCTACTCTAACCACTCTTTACAATTTTTTTTTACAAAGTGAGCTGTACGGTTAATATTAAATAAGAATTAAGGGTTAAGATTTAAAACTAAATCCTCCACTAACTCCACTTTCTTCTCGGCGGCGGCTAAAGGATTTCACTGACTCTTCTTCTTCCTGATGGTGAAAAACTAAATCATATCATATATTTAATTATTTGTATCACAAATCCTTTGTTTTATTTATCCTCTCCTTTGACAATTATTGTATAACAACAGATCATTTTCTTTTATTTTCCCTCCTCCAACAATGGAAGATGAGAACTTCGTGCCTTCAGGTAATAAATTTGTTTTTATATTTTGAATGTTTTGAGTGACATGTTTATGATGTCCCAAATTCTATTATAATTTTTTCATAAAGTAATGGTAATTTTTTTTGCATTTTACAGGAGGTGAGAACATGGAAAATGAGATAGCAAATGATGTTAGATGATAGAATTGATGATTCCTTAATTGTTCCGAAGGTTGGTATGCAGTTTCCTGATGACAAACAAGTTTATGATTTTTATGTGAAATACGCGTATGCCGCGGGTTTTCCTGTGAGAAGAAGAAGTTCGAGTAAGGATGATGATGGCATTCTGAGGTATGTCACGTTCACGTGTAGTCGTGAGGGACGGAAACATAGTTCTACAGGAACTTGCATGAAGCCGCAACCAATAAGTAATACAGGCTGTAAAGCTAGAATATCTGCATCATTGGATATACATGGTTACTGGAAAATAAATAATGTCCAGCTCGAGCACAATCACAAGATTAGTCCCACTAAGTCGAGGTTATACCGATGCCATCGCAAGTTGGGCTCAAATATCAAACGAAAGCTTGAAGTGAATGATATAGCTGGCATACCATTGCATAAAAGTTTTAACTCTATAGTTGTTGAAGCTGGCGGCTATGAGAACATTACTTTTATGGAAAAGGATTTTCGTAACTATGTTGAACAAGCAAGACGCCTAAGACTTGGCGAAGGTGATGCAGCTGCAATACAATCTTACTTTTCGGATGTACAAGCTCGATGCTCAGATTTTTACTTTAGCATTGACTTGGATGAAGATTCTCGATTGAAAAATGTGTTTTGGGCAGATAACAGGTCTACACAAGCATATAAAGAGTTTGGGGATGTCGTCACATTTGACACAACCTATCTTACTAATAAATATGACATGCCCTTCGCCCCTTTTGTTGGCGTCAATCATCACGGGCAGTCAATCTTGTTGGGTTGTGGTTTGGTATCGAATGAGGACACTAGTACATTTGTGTGGCTATTCCGAACATGGCTTAAGTGCATGCACGGTCAAGCACCAAATGGAATAATAACCGATCAAGATAAAGCAATGCAAAATGAAATACAAATAGTTTTTCCGAACACAAAACACAGATGGTGTCTGTGGCATATCTTGAAGAAGTTTCCCGAAAAGTTTAGATTTCATGTTGAAAAAGCCGCAATATTTTCAACCATTCATGTACTGGTTTATGATTCGCAGTCAGCGGAAGAATTCGAGGAAGGTTGGAGTGTAATGATTGAGACATATAAGTTACATGAAAATATTTGGTTATCAGGATTGTTTCATAATCGCGTTCTTTGGGTGCCTTGTTACTTGAAATCCAAATTTTGGGCAGGCATGTCGACGACTCAGAGAAGTGAGAGTATGAATGCCTTCTTTGATGGTTATGTACATTCGAAGACATCATTGAAGCAATTTGTCGAACAATACGAACGAGCGTTGCGAAATAAGGTCGAGAAAGAAATTCAAGCTGATCACAAGTCATTCTCTCAAATCATACCGTGTGCGACGACATATGAAATGGAAAGGTAATATCAGTCGTTGTACACAATTTCAAAGTTTAGAGAAGTTCAAACCGAGTTTACAGGAAAGGTTATTGTGATCTCACATCCACAGTAGACGAGAATACAGGGACGAGGTATGAGGTATGTGAAGATGTATTTTGCGGCGGTAAAAGGAAGAAAAAAAATATTTCTGGTATGGTTTGATATTGAGAAAAGTGAAGTATCATGTAGTTGTCTTTTATTTGAGTATCGAGGTATATTGTGCAGACATGCCATCACAGTTATAATACGTAATGATGTTACTGTGGTGCCTGATCGCTGCATACTTTGACGGTGGAGAAAAAATGTTAATCGAGCACACACGAGGATAGTCGTTAGCTATGATGGTATGGGTATTACTCCAGCACAGAAAAGGTATGACGATATGTGTCGGGCATTTGTAGAGGTGGCAGACCTAGCAGCAGATGATGAGGAAAAATATACATCAAGCCAGGATTGGATAGAAAATAAAAAGAATGAACTTATTTTGACGAAGTATGATTCTAGTGATAATAATAGTTCACAGTATACTTCACGTCAGAAGATGGAAAATGGGAATATAAAAGATCCAAAAACATCAAAGACAAAAGGCGCGCCTAGTACAAAATGAAAAAAGGGCCCATTGGAAGTGAGCTCAAAGAAAGAAAAGGTATATTTTAATTTTATGATCATTTTATAAACTTCTTTTTTATAAAGTAATTTATATTTGTGGTTTATATTCAGGCACGCTCAAGGCACGTAAATAAAAATGGTCCCGTGCACAAACCCGAAAGCATCACAAATGTTGCACTTGAACTCTTTCCAGCTGAATCAAGTTTATTTTTATCAATTCCATAGGTTGGTTACAAAGGTTTGTTAGAGGAGAAGTGACAAGGGAGAAAACAAATGTGATGTTGGTGGTATATATGAAAGCGTAATGTTGTTTTCCTTGTTTTCCCAATGAAAAATAAATTTATGATATTTATTATGGTTATCTGTACAATATTTATCAGTAACAAACTTTAGCTTTTAGTATTAGATTATATGTAAATTTGCTTGGTTCATAAACAGGGCTTCAATTAACATGAACTTATACTCTCATAAAATGTTATTGACAGAAGAATATTATTTGTACAGTTTCTTGTAGATGAGTGTTTGATTGCAAATAGATACACATTTGATTTATGACTTACAAAATAATTGATTGTTTAATTATAATTGCATTTAATAATATTGTTCTGGAAATTAAAAAAAAAAATGGTTGTGTGTTGGCTTTAGGTTGAGATCCCCCTATGTATGAAAGGTGGAATTTGTTTGCATTGTTAGGAATTTAGGTTGTGATGCTTGCACCTCTCATGCTATCAATCTGAATGTTGAACCAAAAGTGAAATATGAACGATTAATTGTTTCCCTTCTGGGGGTTTTTTTTTTAAATTAATGGTTTTATGTGTAAATTGTATGTCAAAATATATAAGAGACATGAGAAATAAAAGGTAGTTTTGTTGTTTAGATGTTTTCTCTGTGGTTTGTGTATTTATATACCTTTGTTTATGGCATTTATGTTGATGTGTTCTTGCTTTTTGCTTTACAATTGAGTGAATGATAAGCAATGGGAAGCGTATACAAATGAGAAGGATAGGAGAAGCACAAAATTTGTTCATATGGCGTAGTTGTTAAATATGGATACTTGATTTTGTAATTTTATGGGTTGTTTAGAAGAGAGGCTGCAAATGTTACTCCCAAATTCAGACAAATGAACAAAAATAAAGAGATTAGTTCACGGCATTGCAGCTTCCCAAATTCAGACGAATGAACAAAAAGAAAGAGATCAATTCATGGCATTATAGCTTTACCAATGGACGAAGATGAGCAAAGGCACACAAAAATTTAAACCAACAACACTCAATGTGCAAAGAACCATACATTGATACATAATTCAAAGCAATCCTCCCACAAACTAAAAATATTTCCTTTCATACCAGGAAAGCTAAAAAAGTAGAAAGAAAAAAAAAATATCTAATCTTTACTATTTCCATGTACAATCACATTCTTATTTCTAGAGAAAACATCCCGAAACCATTTATGGAACCCACAACATGGTTGTTCATCGATAAGTTGGCAATAAATCCTCATCCCGGTTTGCAACACGACCATGATTTCCCATCGACATTCTTGGATGATCCAAATCGCTATTAGTTAATGATAAAGAATCTTTAGATGTTAATCTCCATGCGTCTCCTTCATTGGCTGGGGCCTTAGAGAAATCGGGTACGTTTGAAGTTTCTACCATAAATCCCCCCGTATGTATCACAGCATCACAAATTGACTAATTTCTGTGTGAAGTCTTCAAAACCAAATTTCAGGTTGCATTTGTGTCCGTTGTTGGTTCATTTACTGCCTCTGTAATGTTGGGACTTCAAAGATTCATTCAAATTTTGGATACATAGTGACACAAAATGAACCAAAGATACTCTTGAAAGCCTTGATGCCCAAACTAACCCAAATCACTTCCAACATTTGGACCCCAAAAAAGTTCATATATTCTTTTATGTCAAAACCAAAATTAACCATTCATGGGTATTTTTAAAAATGCTGCACAAATAATATGCAATAGCATGACATTAGCCCAGAAGTGATTCCTCTTACAATCCTCTTTCATCAGACATGAAAAGAATCACCCCCAAACCCCGACTTTCCCGACCTCATTTTTTCCTTTTATTCTTCACTCCGTGCCGTCAAAGCTCTCGGCATCCCTTCCTTTTCTCCCTAAAATTCTTGTCCCAGATCTTGGCCAAGGCAACCGCGCTCTCTCTCTCTCTCCAGGTTCTTGGAAATCTCACGGGCCCGGCCCCTCGGCGCCCGGAACTGCAACCTGTGAATCGACCCAGCCCAAACCATTTGGTCCCAGCCTGTTCCCCAAGCCACCGCAATCTCTTCTATCCTCCTGGAGTCGGACGAGTTCCTCTAGACGGATGAAGGGGACCCGAAATGGGGCCCACGCTATGCCTCGTCCGGGCCGCCATCTGACGTGTTCCTCTGCTCGTGCCTTTGCCTTTGCCTTTGCCCGGCCGCTCGGATCGAAGGTTTGGGACGCCAGGTCGGATAGGGCGGTCACGACATCACCAGGAAAATTGAAGAGTAACAGGAAAAGATTGAGATGAAGAGTAATTGGAAGAAATTTGTCGCCCTTCATTTTTTCTCTTAAAGAAATCGACGGGTCTATAGGCTGGAAGAGAGATTAGGGTAAGGAAAATGAAAGTTACAATTTGGGGAAAATGAATTGATACATAATTTTTGTTTAGTTTTTTTATTTATGTATAATAATTATACTGCCATGTCATTTTGTAACTCAACTTTGTCATGGGACTTGGGTACTGTAGCGGGACCCATAAAGGTTAGTTCTCCTAAAATCCCTAAGTGCTTTTTCATTTTCCTCCTCAGTCCCCATACCTTTATTTCTTCCTTTCAACTCCCTAATTCCTTAATTTTCTTCCACCAACCACAATACATAATAGTATTTTATTACTTTTTGATCAATCTTCTTCTGCACCCTTTCTCCCTCCCTCCCGTCACTCTCCCGTCTTCCTCCATTTCCGGCGACTGCTTCCATTTTTTTTTTTTTTTTTGCAGGTCGGTCTCTCCGGCGAGAAGAACTCCGACAACAACAATTCCGGCCAAAGAAGTGATTCCGACGTCAAATTTGTGCAGCCAAGAATTCATTTTTTTCGGCAACATTCGTGTTTTTTTCAGCCAAAATTTGAAGTAGCAAGTAATATATGTATTATATGAGCATTTTGGAGTCCAAAAATCATGTTTAATTCGTATATATTTTGTTAATTTGTTTGGGATGAATTTTGAAAATTGTTGTTCATATTAACCCTAAATCAATTAAATTGATCAAAATCTCTTATTTATTGTTTATGTATACGAAATTGATGCTATTGTTAAGTTGTGTAATGTGTTATTCACCCTAAAACAAGAAAATAAGGTGGGAATGATCACTGTACAACTATTTTTGATTATTGTACCTCTGTTTGCATGTATATAGTACCACTTTAATACTGTTTTGTACCATTTTTTCCTGGAAAATGTGAAGTTTTTTTTTTTATTTATCCAAATATTGTTAGATACATGGAAGGGGCACAAAGTGATATACTAGGGAATTGTACGTACAAGAATGAATTGTTTATGTTCTCTATGCACATTGGAGTCTAAAAATCATGTTTAATTCGTATATATTTGGTTAATTTGTTAGGGATTGAATTTTAAAAATTGTTGTTCATATTAACCCTAAATCAATTAAATTGATCAAAATCTCTTATTTCTTGTTTATGTATACGAAATGGATGCTATTGTTAAGTTATGTAATGTGTTATTCACCCTAAAACAAGAAATAAGGTGGGAATGAACACTGTACCACTATTCTTGATTATTGTTCCTCTGTTCATTGTATATAGTACCACATTAATACTTTTTTGTACCATATTTTCCTGGGAAATGTGAAGTTTTTTTTTTTTTATTTATCCAAATATTGTTAGATACATGGAAGGGACACAAAGTGATATACTAGGGAGTTGTATGTACAAGAATGAATTGTTTATGTTCTCTATGCACATTGGAGTCTAAAAATCATGTTTAATTCGTATATATTTGGTTAATTTGTTAGGGATTGAATTTTGAAAATTGTTGTTCATATTAACCCTAAATCAATTAAATTGATCAAAATCTCTTATTTCTTGTTTATGTATACGAAATGGATGCTATTGTTAAGTTGTGTAATGTGTTACTCACCCTAAAACAAGAAAATAAGGTGGGAATTATCACTGTACCACTATTCATGATTATTGTACATCTGTTTGCATGTATATAGTACCACTTTAATACATTTTTGTACCATATTTTCCAGGGAAATGTGATTTTTTTTATTTATCCAAATATTGTTAGATACATGGAAGGAGCACAAAGTGATATACTAGGGAGTTGTACGTACAAGAATGAATTGTTTATGTTCTCTATGCACATTGGATCAACGCTTGGGGAAGTGTACGCTCCCATATCAAATAGGTGGCCGAACGTTAATTTCGAATCCGTCGTGCTATGCTATTTTGCGCCAAAAGAAAAAAAGAGAGTTACTTAGTTGGATGATGAGGATGTGAAGAACATGATTCGGTTACACTTTTATTGGAAATTAAATATTGTAGAGATAATTGCCATGGAAGAAATGAAAGACGGGATGATGGAGTTCAATCCTTCCCGATGAACACGAGCAGGTAATGTTGCTTTTATAATATTAATGAATTTATTATTGAAATATGGTATAGTCGTATCATATCCTAGTTCATTAATTTTTTAATTAGTTCCATTATTTATAAATGTTTGTATTATTTTGTCATGAACGCAGGGAAAACGTACAATCTGATGATTTGTCGGAGGGAGAACATGAGTTGTTGCAAGATAAATCGATCGATTCCTGGAGATGTTGCCTCAAAGGAGAGGGGAAAATATTCGCTGGGGCCAACGAATTTCGAAAGAGTGTCAAAAACTATGCAATTCCAAACAAGCGATCCTTTAAGTATCGGAAAAATGACAAGTAGAAGGTCATCGTTTGTTGTAGCGATGCGGATTGTGAATGGAGAGTATATGCATCGTTATACAAAGGCGATCAGCAGTTTGCCATCCAAAAATGCAACCTCGTCCATACTTGTGACATGTCCAATCTTCGGACAAGGGGGCATCCAAAAGCGGACTCCATTTGGGTGTCAACTACAATCGAAGACAGACTGAGAGATGAACCGAACTATAAGCCTTGCACGATATTAAAAGATATTTACAGAGATTATGGCTTGGAGTTGCCTTACAAAAAGGCATGGTTATGGAAGGAACTTGCAATGCAAGATATTCATGGAGCAGACAGGGGATCTTACGACAAATTGAGATGGTACTGTAGCGCAGTGCGTGAGACAAACCCTGGAAGCATTGCCGATTGTGAGATTGACCATGTCGAGAATAAGTTTCGCCGATTGTTCATCTGCTTTAATGCCTGCCTTGTCGGTTTTTTAATCGGTTGTCGACTGTTGATATTTTTGGATGGCACCCACATAAAACATAAATACAAAGGCGTTTTGCTTAGTGCTGTGAGTAAGGACGCCAATGACGACTTGTTCATTATAGCATATGCCATGGTTGATGTCGAGACCGATGAAAATTGGGAGTGGTTTTGCTTGAAGCTGAATAGTAGTTTTCTTTCCTCCCGCTTACCTGTTTCTAGAAGCTTCACTTTTTATTCGGACCGACACAGTGAGCTAGTTAAAGCCATCGCTATGGTTTTTCCTGGCAGCCATCATGCTTATTGTTTGAGACACTTAGTCGACAACTTTAAGAAGCAAGTAAGAAACTTAAATTCTGTTTATATTATGTGAATATTCTGTTTAAATTCTATTTAAAAATGTGAATAATTCACATTTTTATGTGAATAATTATATATTTATTTACTTATGTTTTGTAGGTGTTGAGGAAATACCCACATTTTAATAAGAAACATTGGTCCTCAGTTTTTATGAAAGCTGCATATGCTCCTAAAAGGCAAGATTTTGATATCCATATAAATAATATTTTGACTAAGATGCCTGAAGCAATGGAGTTCCTTCAGAATTCTAACCCACAATGTTGGGCGAATTCTTTATTTGTTGGAGACCGTTGGGGGATCATGAATAATAATCAAGTAGAATGTTGGAATAACTGGGTAAAGTCGGCACGATTTATGCCTATTGTAGCCATGGTGGATCACATAAGAAAGCAAATTATGACCATGATGCATGATCGACGTGAAGGAGTGTCGCGGTTCACTGGTCAGTTGTGTCCTAAGCTTGAGAAAAAAATTGCGGCTCTCTATAGTGCTTCCCGCAATGTCAAAATCAATCAATCAAGTGAATGGAGGTTTGAGGTTGTTGATGGCGACAAAAGTTGTGACGTAGATTTGCAACTTCGGACTTGTTCTTGTGGAGAATGGCAACTATCTAAGATGCCGTGCAAGCATGCATGTGCTTGTATTGAGAGTAGGTCAATGTCCGTCTACGATTTTTGCGATCCATATTATCGTGTCGGAATGTATAGGCAAGCTTATCAAGGTACTATTAACCCTATACCTAACTACGACCATAATGTGGCATCTTCCTCGACACATCATGATTATGCCATTCATGCCCCGGATGTACGATCTCAACCCGGGCGAAGGAGGGAAAAAAGGTTTCCTTCACAAGTTGATGTTGCGGTGAGGCGGTGTAAGCGATGTAGTGATCGTGGACACAATCGACGTACGTGCAAAGAACGTATGTAGATCACTTTTGTATTTGGCATTTGTGTTTATTGTTTTGGGAAAGTGTGTTGGAAAGTGTTGTATTTTTTTTCTGTTGGAATATGTATTTTGATAATACATTATTGACATATTCCGAGTATGTACTGTAATAATATTTTGCGAGTAATGCTGTAGTACATACAAAACATTATTTACAATTCTGCATGGGTACTTAAGAACGTCAAACCAGGTACTCTTCTTTTACAATATAGGTACTAGTTTTGTGGATATATGTGTGTACTCATTTTCATTCCAAAGGGTGGGTAGTAAATGACACTTTATGAGTAATATTTTTTGTACAATATACTGGCATTTCATACTGCAATATAGGTAATAGTTTTGGGAAGTTGTAATCGGTGTATTAATTCCAGAAAGTTGGTACTAATCAATAAAAAACAGGTATTTCGTTGAAGACAAAACGGTATTATAATCTTGAAACTTGGTACCATTCAATGAGTTGAAGTATATATTAATACCACTTGTAGTGTGTTGAGTTCGTGACCAATTTGTGATTAAACTTAATTAACCAAATAATAAATCTCATATAAACTAATATCAGAAGGATTATGGGTCGTATAAACATCATTTGCGACCGAAATTTGGTCTTCCTATGTGTTCATTACAAGTGGTACTGGGGACAAGATTGTAACGCCCCGTTTTATTTTAAAGAATTTATCGAATTTATTTAATAAAAATCAGATTTTTTTTTTTAAAATCCAAGTTAAAACCTTTTTCGAGAAACGGGCGCTACTTACTAACATCAGCCAACAACACACATCCAACAATACAAGGGAACTACACATGCACGAGCTAACAATAAAACAAATACCAAAACATAA